AAGATATGTTTTAGTAATATAATTATATATATATATTACTAAAACATATTGCCCTCTTATAAACAGATCTTATTGTATTCGACGTTTTTTTTTTATATTGTCTTTATATTATATTCGAATTGACCAGTTTATAACTTGTTAATATTCACGGATCACATTATATTTCATTTGTTTAATTCTATACTACTTGTAATTATGTAAAAATTAATTTTATATCCTTAAATTTATTTGCCGTTTCTGTTTTGTCACGTTTAAGGCGTTTAATTATTATTGCTGTAATGCGACCGAACCTATGAATGGCGGCTTCCCGGCCTTCACATAGAATTTCTACGAGAAAGCCATCATTGCAGGCGTCAGATTGCCGGTGGGAAAAATGCCATTCATGAACCATTTTCGACACATTACATGTAAAGAACATATACACAGTTTTTTTAAACTGCGAAGGAATACTTCTTTTTAAACAACCCCAAAAACTATACATGTTTCTGAGCGTGAAGGAAGCCTTGTAATGAAGGGATTAAACTATTGGAAACAATCGGATGATTTTTTCTCTAGAATGAAAATAATTATTTTAAACGGCATAATTAAAAACGATACAGTGCATTCTCGCCATCAACTACTTTTATGAGTAGACTCGAGGAACACACGATTTTCAATCGTCACGAGTGTCAAACCACGTAACGATTCCACTTTTTTTACCTAACTAAACGAGTTCAACTGCAAAGGTGATATTCATCACCTGTTTCCACACCTAAGTTTGTCTCATCATCTATTTTTCCTTCTGAATTTGATTTCCCCTCCCATTTTCGTGCCTTTCTTATTTACTGATTAAGTCCTGCAAGTTCAGAGACAAGACAAGAAGTATATTGGTTTGTTATCGTCCAATAAAACATTGGAAATTTCCTTGCACGTGATTTGTTAAAATCCACAGTGCGTTCTACTTCATTGGACATTCTTGTAGGTTACACCCTACATAACACGTATTGGGCGTGAATCCTTTCCAAACTATGTCACAATCGCGAATCAGAGATAACAAAACTACTTTAGCGCCCAATCCACCAGCAATGCAGCTAAATCTAAAATAAGCGTTTTAATAACTGTTATAACGTTTAATTGTGCAAAGTTCTCACGAGTTGTTTGAAAACCACACAGATTACATATGAATAATTGCTTTTATTTACAAGGCTATTTACAAACACACCAGGATCAAAACAGAACTGTCGACAAAATTAGCAATGTTCTACAAATATCACAGAGAATTCTCTCTTGCATAATTAAACTGCACGGGAGACTATTTCCTTGTCTCCAAAGAACTCGCCGGGTGCACCCAGGAGTACGACTGCACAAGAAGATGCTCAGCTGACGATAGGGTCCGTATCCTTACTCTGGGAGAGGGTCAGTATCCCGACCAATACCCAGCTACGTTCACAACCTTATTCAGGCAATCAGGCATACTTGCCACAACACTTTGACAAAGTATGCCTGATCGTAGGTTCTCCCAACGACCGTGAACGACTTGCCAAAGTCGCTGGGAGTCGATGCCTGAATAGGTTTGCGAACTATGTGGCTCCAAATGTTCTCGATCGGGTTCATATCAGCCCCTCTCCCAGGCCACCACATGTCCTGCACCTGAGGATGCGCTTCCATCCACTCTGTTGTGATTTTGGCTGTATGGACCGGGGAGCAGTCATGGACGAACCAGAATGGGTCTTCGCCGTACACGGCCATTACCGTTGGCACCAGCACGTCTTCCAAAATCTGCACATACTGTACGGTGTTCAGGTTCCCGTCAACCATGATCAACTCTCCCGGCCCTGCGGCACACATCCAACCCCAGACACCTGCAAACAGAAAAGTCCACATTCAGGTTGTTCTGTATAACACATAAAAATTCCAGTTTAAAACAACAAATTAATAGCCTGCAAGGCTAATGACAAATACACAAATTATAAATACTCACATAACGAAAATCGACCGCTTCGTTGGGTGCGCCACACATATTGCTCATCGTAGCGTGTCGAAGGCGGGCGACGCACCCAAACGGTTCTACTCTCGGAGCAGAAGACCTTCTCGTCCGAAAAGATGACAGCCGACCACTGGTCAGCTGTCCAATTGATGTGGTCTTCTGCAAACCAGAGCCGGTCACGTTTATTGGATGGGGTTTGCTTTTGTGCCACTCTTCTTCCAAACAATTTGTTTTCTCTCAACCTATTAATGAAATAAATATATATGTAATATCCTGCTTTCTACATTTCTGTATATGCAAGAACATGTTACTAATGTATTCTATAGACATTTAATTGTAAAGTAAATAGAGGGCTGTCTGTCTTTAAGCTACAGACTTTTGCCCTATGGAAGTAGGAAGGAAGAGAAAGCAAGTGATGTGAAGTGTGAAAAAAAAGGGAGATAGGACAGTAGGAAAGAAGTCATGTGCCCCAGAGCGCCTGCATCGGGTCGTTTATTTAAACCAAAATTACAAAATTACAACTGGCACTCAGCTCGAGGTCTCTTAAACAGCGTAAGATATGTACAATATTTACAATGATGATGTGAAGTATAAAAGCACCTCACTTAGGTGCCAGGTTAGCACACATTTAGTTGATCTGCCTGGTGTATTTATGCAGTTCCTTAATGAAACATGGACAGTCTTTGTCAATGGTATTGTGATGGTAGTCTTTAATTTTGTTTTTGTAGCAGTTTGTGCATTTGGCTGGTCCTTCCTTATCACAATCCTTGTATACATGTCCTCCCCCACAATGACTACAGACTTGAGAATGATGTTGACACTCTTTAGCATAGTGCCCAAAAGCCAGGCACTTGTAGCATCTTCTAATTAATATATAGTCTAAAACTGGACACCTGTTCCACCCTATATACAATTTTTCTTCTCTGATAATTATTTCACGCATCATTGGTGACACTTCCATGACCCACGATTGAAGATTACTATCTTTCTGCGGGATCAGGAATCTAATTTGTATTTCCTCCTCTAGTATACTTTGAGACATTTGTTCCGAGAAACAACTATTCTGCTCATATAGCATCTCTATTAATTCGCTTTTGTCTATAGATTTAGGAACCGACAGTATTTTAATCAAGGGTTGTCTCCTTCTTTCTTTTGTGTTAAGTTCCTTAACCTGTGTTAGAAAGTCTGTTAATGCAGCTGTTTCTTGTGTGCTAGAAAGGTCTACAGCCACTCCCCCGTTGTTGATCTCTCTCACACCTTTGATTCCAATCCGTAAGTCTTTCGGAGTCACATTTTTCATCAAAATTTCCTTAGTCTGTTTGGAATTGTTGTTTTTGTCTTTGCTGTAGACGAGCACAGTGTATTGCGGGCTTGGAGGTGGAAGGGTAATTCCTGGCTGCCTGTTTCCTAATTTTAGAACATCACTGTATCTTCTTTTTTGTTCCTCCTGTGTGTTAGAACACTGAGTTGAGGTCTGATTAATCGTCTTTAATTCTCCTTTGATTGTTGATATAGCCTCCATGGTTTTTGTAACATTTTCTTTCATTATTTCTGCTATCTCTGTTTTAAAATTTTGTTCCTCTGTGATGTCTTGTTTGTCCTCCTCTTTCAATTTCTTAATTTCATTTATTTCTTGTTTGATCTCGTTGATAGCTAACACTATTTCTTCATTCTGCTTGCTTATTATTTCACTTACTTCCTGTTTGGTAATACCCATATGATTTTGCTGTTCTTTGATATTTAAATTTGACTTGTCTCTTAATTCTCTAAGATTTTCTTCTGCCAGATAAATAATCTTAGTCATCTGTTCAATCATGAAACGCTTATGATCAATTGTAGATAGCCTACCATTTGGATTTTCTATAATATAATTTTTAACCTCCTCTACCATTAGGAAGGCTTCCTCCATAAAATTTTCTATTAAATCTACTTCTACTTCTGACTCGGCCATCTTATATTCTATACCTTCTACTATATCTACTTCTGACTCGGCCATCTTATATTCTATACCTTCTACTATTAACAAATGTCTAGAAAACTTGATCAAAATTTGCACAATAAACACAGAAAAAGTTGAAAAAATACGCTATGACGTCACTCAAAACGAACCAGTAAGACGTCAGTGGGAAAAACCGTTGGAAGCCGTTATTACACTGTTGAACGAGGAGAGGTCATTGACCGTAACCATGGAGACCGAGCTCTTCGTTAAGCGTGAAAAGTTGGACAAAATTAAAATTGCCGTATTTCGAAAACTACTAACAATACTTAAACCAAAGTTTTACAAACTATTGCTTAAAGTCTCCTCTACGTGATAATAATTAAAAAATTTGAAAATCTATATCCAAAAGCCCGATGCGGGCCGATTGGTGCCGATCGTTAAAAATTTTAAAAGTTCAATAACTTCTTTAATTTTAGGACTAGGACCACAAAATTTAGTCAAAGTACTCACAGTTTGTCTCTCTATAAGTCACTGTTGTTGTTTCCGGAAAAACGAACTTTCCTTTCCGGTAAAAACGTCCCGAAAATCGAGTTTTTCGATCGTTGCTAATTTCTCACCAAGTGGTCCAATTTCCAAAAATTTGACACCAAACGCTTCCTCTCGTTGAGTAGATTCCAAATATATGGCACAACACTATGTTAAAGTTAAATCCTTGGTCAAACTTCGCGAAAAGCAGGAGCTCAACTTTTCATGTCTGCACTAGAAAACGACTCGACGCCCTCTTACTAATGTATTCGAAGGACGAGTGACTACTATCATACAAATGTTACATACCGTCTTTTTACAGTGTCCTTTGACACATTCAGGTGCAGTTGCTCTCGGAGCATGGTGGACGTAGCGAACGGATCCGCCCGACTGGTCGACACCAGCTGACCATCTTGTTCTGCAACCGTACTCTTGGGTCGGCCCGTCGACTTCTTTGGAGACAGGGAATTCGTCTCTCGATACAGCTTAATTATTCGAGAGACAGTTCTCAGTGATATGTGAAGAATATTGCTAATTTCGGCGACAGTTCTGTTTTCCTGGTTGTGGCGTATAACTAGGGTAAGATTTACCCTCCGAATGAGGGGGTAGCCACCCCCCAACGGGTAGCCCTCCCCCGTACGAACAATAAATGTCTAATGAATCACCCCCCTACGCGCGACCCTTCGCGAGATATAGTCCTCCGAAAATTGTTCTACGGGTCACGTGACCGCATGTTAGCCACAATTTACCCTTCGAATGAGTGGATCGGCTATCCCCCCGAATTGAAGACCCCCTCCGTGCGAACGAAAAAGTCAAAAGAACCATACCCCTGCGCGCGACCCTTTACGAGATATAGCCCTGTAAAGAATCCCCTACGTCATTTCCGGCGATCAGGATCGACGAGTCACGTCGCTCTTTCTACTAAGCCTATCGACCAATTCTAACGTTATTGCAGTCTAATTATCGGAGTTAGGTCCTTTTCGCATGACCCCGCGCTCCTCCTCGACCTCGGGAGGGTCTAGGGCCCCTCATTCGCCATCACACTGGGTTTCGCTCGCCCGGTCGGCTACCGTATTAAGCACCGTTAAGCCTATCGACCTATTCTAATGTTACTACAGTCTAATTATTGCCGAGTTAGGATGAGCGCGGGGTCTTTTTGCACGACCCCGCGCTCATCCTTGACCTCGGGGCCTAGGGCCCTCATTCGCCGACACGCTCGGGTTTCGATCGCGGTCGGCTAGTACTACGCGCCGCTTTCGCGGTTTGTCCAAAACACCTGACCTACCTCTTCGGAGGTGACTACTTAGGCTAATAGAAAACCGTTTTGAAACCAGATTGTACACTCACCTTCAACAGCATCTCCTCCTGCATCTCCCGCCAGGTCCTTTCGCTACCTGGCGACGCCTAGCCTATTCCCAATGTTGCGTAGGTGAGGACAGGGTGATGCCGCTGGTCCCCGCCTTGGCTAGGTCCTGGGGTTCGATGACGAAGGTGTTGTTGGCGCACGATGTTGTCCGAAAAACCATATAATCCAGGTTTTACATCCGCAAATAGGTATCCTTTGGTCACGCGCACTATACACAAGCTGCACTACTCACTGGGCGGTCGTCATCCCTTGCCATTCTTCTTCGTCGCCCTTGTGCACGGGTATGTACATCAAAAACATACGTACAGTACAGTATATAAATGATATAGACATGTCGGCGAAGACAGAAACATAGGTCGATCGTCACGTGTAAACCTTCACCGCCAAACATTCTGTTGCTGCTAATAAAAGTAGTTCGATTCCGTTCATGGAAAAAGCGAAATAAACAACCTTTTATTAGAGACAAAGCAACCATTCGTCCACAGTTGATTCCCCGTGAAATAAAAGGCCGCAATGTGAAATGCCGTAGGAGAAATGACACCAACCAAAAAATACCGACATAAACAAACTTTTGTTAGAAACAAAGCAAAAAAATACAGACTTGGGTCAAAGACGGTCGAATTCACCGTGAAAATAAAGCCCGCG